GCTGAGTCAGAGAGACACTGCCAGCCGCCAAGATGACAAACAGCATGTGAAGATGCCGGTAAGCCATGAGCCATGTGGCAAGGTATAGATTAATGGAAATGGATTAATTTAAGCTGTAAGAACAGTTAGCAAGAAGCCTGCCACGGCCATACAGTTTGTAACCAATATAAGTCTCTGTGTTTACTTGGTCGGGTTTGAGCGGCTGTGGGACTGGCAGGTGAGAGAGATTTGTCCTGACTGTGGGCCAGGCAGGAAAACTCTAGCTACACAGGAGGATCAAGGTAGTGAGCAGCACTCCTCCATGACCTCTGCTTCAGTTCCTGCCTAGAGGTTCCTGCCCTGAATTCCTGTCTTCCCTTCATGAGGGACTATGACTGGGATGTGCAAGCCAAATAAACCTCCCTAAGCTCCTTCTGTTGTGGTCTTTATCACAGCAATAGAAAGCTAACAAACACATCATATAAATGTCCTGGATATATTTACATCCTTAGCCCCATAAAATTAATATATGCTGTTTGGAGGAAGTCTTTCTGGGGCACTAAAGGGTGTGTCAGAAAGAATTGTTTGCTTCCCGTGGCATTGTACTTCAAGAGGTCTCTGCTGTGGGATGTCCTTCTGTATGCTGTGAATGTGTGTTGCTTTCATTGATTGATAATAAAGCAGTTTGGCCAATGGCAAGGCAGAATAAGGTTAGGCAGTACAATCAAATTGAGGACAGAGATAAAGAAAGGTGGAGTCCAGCAGCCACAGGCAGCCACCGAGGAAGCAAGACATATAGACAATGAGGTAATAAGCCATGAACCATGTGGCAAAGCATAGATAAGAAATATGGATTAATTTAAATATAAGAGCTAGCTAGTAATAAGCCTGAGCCATCTGCCAAACATTTATAATTAATATAAGCCTCTGTGTAATCATTTAGGCAGCAGCTGTGGGATGGTACAGGACAGAGAAAAGCCTTCATTTACAGGTCTCTCCAAAAATACCATGATTAATGTCTTTTTCAAATTCCCCTCTTTTTCACCTTTTTAGACCCAGCTGTGTGAGTTGGAGAGGAAAGAATAGACAGTAATTCTAGGACACTCATGGTATTGAGAGCACTTAGTGACAGGTCAGCTCATTCAGTTTTTTTTTTTCCTGTGTATCACCCTCTCTCCCTTGGGCCAGTAATAAACATTTCAGAACTGACCATGTCAGATGCCTTTCCATTTTAAAAGTCATTTCCTTAATTACAAAACCAAACATAGTCACATATTAATCAGAAGCTACAAAATTGTCCATACAGAGTCCATCACCTTTCTTTTCTCATTCTACCCCACTCATTACAATTCAATTTATACAATTATATATATTTGTGATTTTCTCTTTTTTTATTTTATTTTTTTGGTTTTTTGAGACAGGGTTTCTCTGTGTAGCTTTGCGCCTTTCCTGGAACTCATTCTGTAGCCCTGGCTGGCCTCGAACTCACAGAGATCCACCTGGCTCTGCCTCCCGAGTGCTGGGATTAAAGGCGTGTGCCACCACCACCCAGCTTATTTGTGATTTTCTAAGCAAGTACCTACACATAATATTGTCCTTGTTTCCATAATAAGATTTTCCTAATAGTCTTCATCTTAATCTTTCAGTCAGTGATAAGTCCTTGTGGTGGTTTGAAAGAAAATGGCCCCCAAAGGGAATGGCACCATTAGGAAGTGTGGCCTTGTTGGAGGAAGTGTGTCACTCTGGGGTCAGGCTTTGAGGTCTCTTTTGCTCAAGCTTCCCTCAGTGTGACAGGCAGTTGACTTCCTGTTGCCTGAAAAATGTAGCACTCTCAGCTCTAGCACCACGTCTGCCTATAGGCCGCCATGTTCCCTGTCATGATGATAATGGACTGAACCTCTGAAACTCTAAGTGAGCCACCCTGCTGTGGTTACAAATTGTTATTGGTCATAGTCAATCTCTTTCTAAAAGAAGAAAGGTGGACATGATATAGAAATGTAAGCTATAGATATGATAGGATAAAAGGGTAGATTATTGACTCTACTTTTTGAAAACAGCAACAACTCATTTTAAATATTTTACATTGCTATCGATTTTAGTTTATTGGTACAAATTTAAAATTAATTTTGTTATACTATATGTATATTTCTACTTTTGTTTAAGGTATTATGTTTATGCAACTCGTTTAAAATTGTAATGTACAATTAAGAACTACAGATTAATAATTAGTCATGTATGATAATCAAACTTATAGTCATGAGGAGGAAGGGTAAGGTTTTAGCTCTTAGCTCTGACCTCTTGGCTTTCTTCTTTGCATTGGTTCTGTGTTTCTTATTTAATAAGAAGGTTGGTTACATCTACCACAGGCATTTTAGACACTCCATATGGAGTTTATCTTCTTCTTGGCAAAACTGGCCATTTGGGCAAAAAACTGTTCTTGTCTGGACTGCTTGACAGTATTTTATACAGACTGGACATGCAGGACCCATGGGAAAGTGACCACTAAACTTTGCCTAAACAGGGCAAGATGGTCCTTCAAGGTTCCTGCTTCACAGAGGAGACTGGAAGACATTCTGCAGGACACAGGCATAAGTAACTGATAAACTTTTCCAATAGGCAAGACGACCCTTCAAATTTCTTACTTTACTAAAAAGTCTGCCAGAGACTCTAGGCCTGTAGGCTGAAGATGGATGCCCTAACATTGCAGAGGAACTTTGGGTTACTGTCCCAGCTGCCAAATGTCTTTGTCATTCTAGATTTTTGGAAGTTGCTTACAATGAATGCACTTCCTGTTTACTTAGGTATTATTATGTTCCTTCTCAGGTCTTTGATGGAGTTGAAGACTAGGCAGTTATAATTATAGTCTTCCTTAGTTATAATAAAAGATAAATTAGATATGAAACTTTAGACTCACAAAAATAGACAGATGATAGAGTATTTTCTTTAATTTTGTTAAATACAAATGGACTAGATATTGTAACTGTAATTCTTGCTTGATAACTGTTTTGTTATATGTAATTTTACTATGTTAAAGTTAAAACCTTCCTTTTTGATTAGACAGAAAAGGGGAAGTGCTGTGGGATGTCTTTCTGTATGCTGTGAATATGTGTTGCTCTGATTGGTTGATAAATAAAGCTGTTTGGCCAATGGCGAGGCAGAATTAGGTTAGGCAGTACATGCAAACTGGAAAGAGAGGAGTAGAAAGGAGAGTGGGGTAGTCACTGTGAGCCACAACCAGGGGAAGCAAGATGTTAAAGTACCAGTAAGCTACGAGGCCACCTTGCAATGCATACATTAATAGAAATGGGCTGAGTTAAGTTGTAAGAGCTAGCTAGTGGGAATCCTGAACCATTAGGACATACAGTTCATAAGTAATATAAGCCTCTGTGTGTTTACTTTGGTCTGAGTGGCTGCAGGACTGGGCAGGACACAGGAAAACTTCAGACTATACCCCCACCCACCCCCTTTAAATGTTTTTATATATATATATGAGTTGCCATGGTCCCAGAAGGACAAACATGGTAGGTACTCACTCATAAGTGGATACTAGATATAAAACAAAGAACAATCAGACTGCAACAAACAGATCCAGGGAGGCTACATAGCAGGGGAAATCCTAGGATGACTGTGGCTTATAATAAGTTTTGGTTTTACTCAATCACTGGGCAAACTTCAGTAAAACATTTCACTATTAGGATAAGAATTTGTACTGTATCAAGCTGATGATAGAAAAAATAAAATAAAATAATAATTTAAAAAAAACAAACAAACAAAAACAAAACAAACAAACAAAAGAGTTGTCATGGTCATGGTGTCTCTTCACAGCAATAAAAAGCCTAACTAATATAGTCCTAGATCCATAGTGATAGGTCTGTTTTTTTTAGTAGATGCATGCAAATCCAGAACATGGATATGTCCTAATGTCTAAAAATCAATCAAACAAACAAACAAACAAAAACCCTAGTCCATGCCTTGGCCTAGCATTTGGAAGGCTAAGGCAGGAGGATCATAAGTTCAAGGCAAGCCTAAATAACATAGCAAGACCCTTTGTAGAAAAAGAAAAAACAAAACAAAAACCAAAATGTTTCTTCAGCGTTTGGATTGCTTTCTCTATTTTTGCCATTGGAAATTTCTTTAGTAAATACCTTCAAATATAAATTGTACAGTGGCATCTCAAATAAGATGCCTAGAAATGGGAATACTGGATCAAAGGTTGTGTGCCTCCTATGGTCTTTTAGAAAGCACTATCTCTCTTGGATCAAAAACAGTCTTGCCTTGGCCTGCAACAGATGAGCATGTTTATTCCTCTACCTCTTTACTAAACTGAATGTTTCCATCTGTATGATTTCTATGAAACATTTCTTAAGATCTCTGTAAGTTATTTTAAATCCTATATAGGTGTGTGTATATGAATATAGGTACACAGGTGCCCACAGAGACCAGAGGTGTCTGGTACCCTGGATCTGGAGCTACAAGTAGTTGTGAGCCTCCTGGCATGGACACTGAGAACCAAACTCAGGTCCTATAAAAGAATGGTGAGTACTCTTAACCACTCTAAGTTTTCCTCTATGAAAGAGCCTGGCTTATCAATGTCATTTTAAATATGTCTCCAGAATAAAACTCAGGGCAGTCTCTGTATTCTGTTAAGTGTCAGGTACAGAGAACAGATTGTGAATGTTCTGAATCCTGCTTCTAATGGCAGAGTGTAATATAAGTTTCAATTAAGTTGGAGATTCATTGTACTTGAGTTTCTAGTCAATTAAAACTGGAAATCATATTTTCACAGGATCTATTTTTAAGTCATGTCTTTCCCTTTTCCTAGCATGCAACTCTTTTTTTGTTGGCTTTACTAGTCAAAGTTTTTGTATTTTTCAGTCCACGCACCCATCTGATGTTTTTATATCTTTACTAGAGCTGATGCATTGTTTTACTTTTGAAATCCTTTTGTACAACATATTAATCATCCTTACCGATTGCTAAAGAAATAACATAATCTTCCTTCAAAGGTGATTCTCTCTTGTGTATTCCATTTCTTTTTGATCTGGTCTTGGAAATGACTCTGAATCCACTTGTGTTTCTATCAAGCCCACAATCCTCTATCCAGGCCAGAGGAAATATTCTCTGTCCTTCGCCAGAGTGCTACCCAGATGAGCTGACTATCTGGATCCACTCTATAGTCCCTCTCAACAACCATGCTGAAGAGGAAGGCAAGATCAGCTGGCTGTGTGGAGTTCTTCTTTACTTTCTTGGTGGGAACATCCAGGTCTCTGGTTGTCACAACTTTCTCAGTCCTGAGAGGGTTAAGTTTTTGAAGTGCCGATACAGTTGCATCATTTCAAATGTGCTGTTAGGAGGCAATGAAAAGTCCTTCTCCCAGTAGGGACCCCATTCACGTCCCTCCTGCCACATTCTATAGCCACTGTTGTCACATTGTATGTTATGGTTTCTTGTATGTCCCCCCTGATATTCACTAAGGATGTGCATAGAAAACACTGCGGTGACAGGAATTTTTTCCTGCTTCTGGACTTACATAGTAACATCTTCAATGTTTTTCTCCATCTTCATCTTTGAGTTAGTAAGACATCTCAAGGATGTTTCAGTCTCCACCCATCGAGGTCTTTCTTCTTTCAGTTACACTTCTGTATCATGTTTTCTCGTTGATGTAATCACATCCTGCATGAAAGTCAAGGCTTTGTCAGAGTTTAAATTTTGTGACAGAGTATCTGCTCCCATTCTAAAATCTGGGCCTCCCTGGGCTCTGTGGCCACATGTGCTTCTCTTGTCCACTTGTCCATCTGTCTCATCCTAATCTCAACTGTTTTTCCAGCCCTTGCACAGATGTTGGTGGCTACAGATGGCTTCTCCTGGTTTTACAGAAAATGGGCTCTGGGGTCTGAGGAATCTTTCTGTTTTCCATGCTTTGGGTGGCTTCCAGGCGAATGGTAGAAGATGCTGACTCATACCATGTTCCTCTTGGAACTTAGCATTTTCTTCCTGAATCCTCACAAGCCAGCTGCCAAATGATGGGTTCAAAAAAAAAGTGCTGTGGAGCAGGAGCCAGCATGTGCCTGTAGTTTGAATCTTTTATGCCTTTAGCAAACCTGGGTAACAGTTCTTGCCTTTCAATATTGATGTTTTTTAAAGTATCTCATAGTATATATGATTGTGTAAATTTAAACCCTTTTTTCTTCTATTATTGTTATCTAACAAACCTTGGGTTTCATCTATTCATATGCTCATATTTCTCTACTTTCTTATCTGAATATACTCCTAATAGGTAAAAAAGGAATCAAATCATTTACATGTCACCCTGGCTTGCCTCCCACAGGTCCTGAAGCCTTGTGGTAGCTCAGGGTCACTTTCTATTTTGTCTGTATGTGACCCTCCTGAGAAGAGGGACTGAGTCCCAGTCTGTGCTGTGTCCCTGTCCACTTAGTGCGTTTCAGAGACTCGGCAGTGTTGAGCAATGACTAACCAAATGGAGGGCATCTAAGAGATCCATCAGACACAACTGAAAGAAGAAGCCATGGGCATGCACCACTGTAGGAGAAAGAAAGGAAAGAAGGGAGGGGTTGGTTATCATTAGGTTGTTCCTCTGAGGTAGTGTAAGAGCAGGCCTGGAGTCTGCTGTATCCTGGTTCCATTTAGTTTCTTCTGTGCGCTGGTTGGTGCATCATGATCTCAGGCCAATGAATGAACCTGTGTAGCATTGTAACTTCCTCCCTTCCTCTATGAGAGGCATTTATAATAACCAATCAGGGACGCTCCTGCCATAGTGAATGTACAGTGAGCTCACGGTAAGTCCCTCCTCTTGTCTCCTGTCACTGTTCTTCTTGCTTGTTGCTTAGACTTCTTGTTTTCCTTGATATTTTCTGTAAGCCTTAGCAGTTCTTGAAGGTCTCTATCTCGAGGATTTTTTTTCCCAGTAAGGGTATGGTCCCTTCACACTCCCTTGGATGGGATTCCCTCTCTCTAATTGCCAAATACTGTTTTAAACCCTGAACTCCTAGAAGTCCCTCTGCAGCCTCATATATGTGGCAATACCTGCCCTCTCTTTTCCCACCGGGACCATTAACAATTGCACTGTTAGCATTTTATTTTTGATAGCTCTATCACTGTGGGGCTGTCGCCTGTTTTATTACTCTGGCAGCAATAAAACAGAACCTATCCTATTATGAACTTTATGAAATCTGTATCCTGAAAGGTCACAGATGTGATCTCTGAAGTATTTTTGACCATCAGCTCCTAGGAGTAAAATCACTTTATGGACATCTTCCCGGAGAGTTTCAAATTAATCTTTCAATTGTGAGCATGTACAACAACAACAATAATAACAGAAAGTGCAGAACTAGCAAATATGTGTGTGTATACACACATGCATATCCATGCATTGACAGATTGCATACATGTGTAGAAATTCATGTTATGTGTTTTATAATACATACAAAATTAGAAGTTAGCATGATGTATTGACAATATTAAATATAGACAGATTACTGGATCTAACTCAGCTTCTTATCCTATGCCAAAATATTTTGAAACACTTTTTAAACATTCCCTGTGAAGGCCCACTACACCCAGGTTTGGCAAGGGATTTAGTTTAGAGAGAATCTGATGAGCTTTGTAGTTTACAAAATTGGAAGAAACGCTGATCAAAGAATTCAACCCTTGGAAGCTTCAAGTGCTATTCCAGCAGTCTTCATCAAACTGCCTTAGAGGACTCCATGCCAAGTGAAGCCTCTGGACTGCTATGCATTTGGTCAGCTGTATCGAGGGGAATTATGGGAGGAGATTTTCACATGCGGTCTTAGTGAGCTGTGGAAGGTGATGGCTCAGCTTTACGTGACTATTTTTGCTCTACAGCTTCAGATGCTCTGTGTGCCTATCCCATGGTGAGCACCACCACAGATGTGCACATTATTAAGAAGTAAGTCTTACCAAACAATGCATCCCAGATTCACAAAAGCTGCACAACAAGGTAAGGATGACAATACCTTGTGTTTATTTGATTAGAACCTCACACTCACCTAGGGAATTCACCAGGAGTGTTTGTCAAAAGCAGTGCTGTTTTCCCAGATCTGCCACAGTAAGTTGTTACAAGCCAGGCTGCTTAAAAGAACAATGGTTTGTTCTTCATTCTGGAGGTCTGAAGTCTGAAATCAAAGAGTGACTAAGACTCTGTTCCCTCTCAAAGCTCAAAGCTCACATAGAGAAATTGCCCTAAGTTTTTCAGTCTTTGCAGTTTTTAGTGCCCCATGATGTTTGGGGCTCCCAATGGCAGTACCCCCATCTCTGCCTGTCTCCACATGCCCTTCTTCCCTATATGTGTCTATGTCCTGTCCTCTCATAAGGAAGCCTGTCTATATTGGGTGTAACTTAATATGGCTTCATCTAAACTTGGTTATGTGGGCAAAACAATGTCCCATTTACAGTTACTGGAGTTTAAACTGAAACATAAAATTTCAGGAAGACACAACATTATCTATTATGACAACTAAAATATTAAAAATAATAACTAAATATCTTTTCCAGTGTCTCCCACATTTTCCCTGGGGAAAACTCCAACCCCTCTAATAAATACTGCCCTGATGTCCATGCCTTCCTTAATTAATAAATCCTCATTGATGGGCTCAGCTTTCCCCAGGCTTCCAGCCACTTCCGTTTCCCCATCCCATTCTTCCTAATGATTACCCATAAGCCTATTTAGAATTACTGTATTCTCACAAAAGACACATCCTTTGTCTGTTATGACCAAGCAGTATTTTATTGAATATTACCAAAAGAGGTGACATATGAAAGAATGGTTTTTATATTCAGTATTGAACTAAGGTACATTTTCACTCAAGCTACCTACTCTGTCTGTGTATATTTTTTTTTTTTTTTTTTGGTTTGTCGAGACAGGGTTTCTCTGTGTAGCTTTGCGCCTTTCCTGGAACTCACTTGGTAGTGTATATTTAAGATGAATGGTGAATCTGCAAAGATCTAGGGTTTTTAACTATACATTTATGTAAATGTATAGATGCATATATAAAATCTATGGCCAAATAACTTGTTCAAAATGATTAATGGTGATTTAGTTTCTGTAGATACAGTTGGGGAAGGTTATCTAATATTGTTCTCTGAAACTTTGAGCTCTAATTTTGGGGTTTGATGTTGACCTCCAGGGTGTCTTGGCACAAACTTTACATTGTTTTCCTGCAATTTCAGGCAATCACACATTGCCCTCTGTCAGATGAGTCACTACAAAATCAGTGAGTGGCCATCTCACTCCTCACCCAGCCACAGACACACACTGAGCAGCTGGGACAACCAATTCCATCCTCTCACTGACCACTCGGAGCTGTGATTCTCCGTCTTCTTATAGCCTTCCATCACTGGCATACACAAGGTCTTTCTGCATAGGGCTCCAGTTTCTCAGGAAATAAGCCCAACAGCAGATAAATGGGACCTTAGGAAATTCAAAACCTTCTTGACAGCAAAGGAAACAACTGAGTGAAGAGACAGCTTACAGAATAGGAGAAAAAAATCTTTGCTAGCCATACATCCAACTAAGGATTAATATCTAGAATCTACAAAGAACTAAAAATGCTAAACCAGAAGATGGGTACCAGGGAGTGGTAGTAGGACTATGTACATGTGTGAACATATAAGGAGACCCATTATTATGTATAATCAATGTATGCTAGTAAAAATAACTAAAAGTCCAGGAATATAGTAAGCTTACATATATCCACAGGAAACAAAGTAACCAACTCAGTCCATAAACGGGCCAATGAGTGACCAGACAGTTCTCAGATGCTGGGGCACAAACAGCAGCAAACACGTGAGAAGATGTTGAACCTCACCAGCCGTCAGAAAAACGGAAATTAAAACCACACAGATACTCCATCTCATCCCAGTCAGAATGGAGTCATTAAGAAAACAAAAGCAGCCAAACAGTGGTGGTGCACACCCTTAATTACAGCACTTGGGAGGCAGAGGCAGTCAGATCTCTGTGAGTTCAGGGCCAGCCTCATCTACAGATCAAATTCCAGGACAGCCAGGGCTGCATGGAGAAACTCTGTCTTGAAAAACAAAAACAAACGAAGAGAACAAACCCCACAAACATTGACACAGGTGTGAACTAAGTGGAATTCCAATGCACAGCTGCTAGGAATGCAAGCTAGCCCAGCCAGTACGGAAATCACTATGGGGGCTTCTCAGAAAACCAAAGAAGTTGATCTATCATGTGACCTGGGGACACCACTGTTCAGTGTTTACCCAAAGGACTCCACATCAACATATCAAAGACATACTTATGCATCCATGGCTACTGAAGTACTGTTCACAATAGCTAAGTTATGGAACAAAGCTAGGCATCCAACCACAGAGGACTATATGAAGGTGGCATTTATATACAATGGAGTTTTTTCAGCTATAGAGAAGAACAAAATTACATCATTTTCCAGAAAATGGATGTAGCTAGAGATTGTCAAGGTAAGCCAGTCTCAGAAATAGTGTCTCTGAATCATCTCCCATGAGGTTTCCAAATTTTTATAGATGTATGAAATCATGTATCCACACATGCTGTCAAAGTCTAAATGAAATTCTCTAAGGGATCAAAGAAGACTAATATGAGTGGGTGGAGACAGGAAAGGAATAGAGGAGGAATTTGGGCAGGGTATAAGACATAC